TTGTCAAAGATGTCCCCTTGAGACAAGAGTTCCTTCCCCTGTCTGTGACAAGACATATTATTGGCTATCGATGGATTGCTTCCGGTTTAACGAAAGATCCTTTTTATTGGACAGCGGAGACGTGTTTGAGCGGGCAACGCGAAATGGACAATGGCATCACAGCTTGGATGAAAGAAAAGACGGCAAACGATTTTCATTTATTTGGGAGTGGACAACAGGTATTTTCGAATGATAAACGAATAGAGAAGAAAAAAAAATATGGTGACAGACAGACGGTTAACTAAACAGACTTGGTGACAGATTGATGCATTAGAGCCGTAATATCTATGAAGTATTTTTTATATTCTAGCAACAGTTACATCGTCTTACTCTTAGATAGTTGGGTGGTTTGGTAGTGGTGTTGTTGTTCCCTCCTCCTCTCAGTTATAATTTTGTGATAATGAATTCAAACGCATTTGGTAGGGATCAATGCACAGATAGAATGTGATACAAAGAAAACGTGAAAAAAAAAAAAGTACACACACATGCACGCACGCACACACACACGAATACACGCACGCACACAGGTGTGCGGACACTTGCGTAGACATATTGACCAGTGAATATGGGAACAAGATACTGGTAGGCGCACAAGGCAAGCAATACATTGATGTAATAAATATTTATTAATTGACAATTAAATAAACACAATAACAATAGAAAGCTAAAATAAATTACATTTTAACAACAACCTTTATTTACAGAAACATCTCCGTAGGTTTTCCGTACAGATTATCATACGTGCGCAACTAATGAAGGCTTGTGAGATGCTACACAGGGATTCAAACCCTGGACTCAGTTGCTAATAAGCGGGTGTCTAGGCGTTCTACCACGAAGACGTCCCTTGTCGACAGAAATAAACCAAAAACTGGCTAATGGCACTTGCGAATAAACAGATATACACACGGTAGCACGGCAGCAGCAGTGGATAAAAAACGGTAACACATTGTGGGATTGTGTGGGGCAACAAAACACAGAGAACACACTGCCTGATTGTGTCTAGGAAATAAAACACAGAGAACACAGTGCATGATTGTGTCTAGGAAATAAAACACAGAGAACACAGTGCATGATTGTGTCTAGGAAATAAAACACAGAGAACACAGTGCATGATTGTGTCTAGGAAATAAAACACAGAGAACACAGTGCCTGATTGTGTCTAGGAAATAAAACACAGAGAACACAGTGCATGATTGTGTCTAGGTAATAAAACACAGAGAACAAAGTGCCTGATTGTGTCTAGGTAATAAAACACAGAGAACACAGTTCATGATTGTGTCTAGGTAATAAAACACAGAGAACACAGTGCCTGATTGTGTCTAGGTAATAAAACACAGAGAACACAGTGCATGATTGTGTCTAGGAAATAAAACACAGAGAACACAGTGCCTGATTGTGTCTAGGTAATAAAACACAGAGAACACAGTGCCTGATTGTGTCTAGGAAATAAAACACAGAGAACACACTGCCTGATTGTGTCTAGGAAATAAAACACAGAGAACACAGTGCATGATTGTGTCTAGGAAATAAAACACAGAGAACAAACTGCGTGATTGTGTCTCAGTAATAAAACTCGGAGAACACATTGTGGGATTGTGTCTGCGGAAAAAAAAAACACGAAGAACACATTGTGGGATTGTGTCTCAGTAATAAAACACAGAGAACACAGTGCATGATTGTGTCTCAGTAATAAAACACGGAAAACACACTGTTTGATTGTGTCTAGGCAATAAAACCCGGAGAACATGTTGTGGGATTGTGTCTGGGGAATAAAACACGGAGAAAACATTGTGGGATTGTATCTGGGGAATAAAACACGGAGATCACAGTGCATGATTGTGTCTAGGGAATAAAACACGGAGATCACAGTGCATGATTGTGTCTAGGAAATAAAACACGGACATCACAGTGCATGATTGTGTCTAGGGAATAAAACATGGAGATCACAGTGCGTGATTGTGTCTAGGTAATAACCTACAGAGAACACATTGTGGAATTGTGCCTTGGTAATATAACACGGAGAGTACATTGTGGGATTTTGTCTGGGTAATAAAACACGGAAAACACACTGCATGATTGTGTCTAGGTAATAAAACACGGAGAACAAACATATTGTGGGATTGTGTCTGGGGAATAAAACATTGATAACAGATTGTGGGATGGAGTATATGGAATAAAACAGGGAAAACAAATTGTTGAATTGTGTCTAGGTAATAAAACACGGAGAACAAACATATTGTGGGATTGTGTCTGGGGAATAAAACATTGATAACAGATTGTGGGATGGAGTATATGGAATAAAACAGGGAAAACAAATTGTTGAATTGTGTCTGGGTAAAAAACACTGATAACACATTCAGGGATTGTGTCTGGGTAATAAACACAAAGAGCACACTTTAGAATGGTGTCTAGAGAATAAAACAGGATAAAATATTGTGGAACTGAGTCTGAGGAGAAAAGACAAAGAACACATTGTGGGATTGTGTCTGGGGAATAAAACACGGAGAACACATTGTGGGATTGTGTCTGTGGAATAAAACAGGCAGAACACATTTGTGGGATTGTGTAGGGGGAATAAAACACGGAGAACACATTGTGGGATTGTGTCTGGGGAATAAAACATGGAGAACACATTGTGGGATTGTGTCTGGGGAATACACCATGGAGAACACACTGCGGGATTTGGTCTGTGGAATAAAACAAGGAGAACATATTGTGGGATTCGGTCTGTGGAATAAAACAGGGAGAACACATTGTGGGGTTGTGTCTGGGGAATAAAACTCTGAGAAACACAGTGTTATTGTCCTAGGGAATGCAACATTAAGAACACACTCTGGGATTGTGTCTGGGGAATAACACTATGACAGCTCGCAGGGATTGTGTCTGTTGAATTCCCCGTGTGGGTTCCAGGGTCTCATTGTGTGGAAAAAGAATAGACCACCTCTCCCTGGCGCCGCCTGCCCTTCCCCTCCCCCTTTTCCCACTTCCCTCATATAACAAGACAACCAAGCCACGATGACAACCGTAAAATGATATAGTATGTTATGTATTTTTTTTCCGATTCAGTAAAGTAAAACGAAGGCCATTCTCAGGACGCTGGTGTGGGAAGCATATGACGCTAGAGACATAGTGTATGGAGCGACTGCACATTGGATATCCTGATACCCACTTATGACGAGTCCTCGAAGTAGAGTGGTACTTGAGACGTACATGCCGTCATGCAGTCGACTAGCCACCCGTTACCACGGCCACTACGACTGCGTGTTTTAACAATATTGTAAACATGTGGTAATATAAACAAAGCCTTGCTAAGCACAACCAGACTGTTGCTGTACAACAGATGATGATGTTGATGAATATTATGACGATGGGGATGACGATAATACTGGTGATGATGAAGATGATAATGAAGACGACGATGATAGTGATGATGATGACGACGGTGGTGGTGGTGATGATAATGATGAAGGTAAAGACGATGGTAATGGTGACGATGATAATAACGATGATAGTGATGATAATAATGACAATGATGGTGGTGATGATAAACATGAAGGTAATGACTAATGATGATGATGATGGCGATAATGATGTTAAGTATCACACAGTGACAAAAGGCATCCTATTGCCTGTTCCGATGGAGCTTTTAAAATGCTCGGTACCACAGTGTTTCCAGGAAAACATGCTTGTTCATGATAAAATTGTACACCCCTTAATATAGAACCAAAGTTAGAGCCTTGCAGAAACTATGTGGCCACTCATTAGTGCGTCGGCTGCAGTGTGAAGGTTGCCGCACGAAGGTATATTAGGAGAATAATCAGTTTATACCTGCATCTGTATTGTTATAAGGGATTACAACGTTTGCTGTACTAGTAGATTAAATTATTGTTTAACGGAAGTATTTTGTCTTAAACAGTCTATCGTCATGGAGTGATAAAGAAGCAAGGAAATAAGTATTATTTATAAAAGCTAAGCATGGTGCGTAATACTGTCGTATTTATGAACTTGAGAAGTTGGAGAGTTTCCAGCGAGCACTTGTAAAGTCTTAACAGGCAGTTTTGAGGGATCTATTTCTCCCCTGTTTTTTGTTAGGATAATTTCACCGAAACGTGTTGTGTCGTTTTGCCCAGATTGTATCATTTAAATGTCTTCTTTGCTACACATTATAGTAGTAGTAATAGCAGTAGCAGCAGTACTAGTACCAGTGGTAGTAGTGGTGGTGGTGGTACTTGCAGCAGCAGCAGCTGCAGCAGTAGTGGTAATGGTACTAATAGTTGTTGTTGTTGTTGTTCTTCTTCTTTTTCTTCCTTTTTCTTTTTCTTCTTCTTCTTTTTTTTTGCTTCGTCTTTATCTTCATCATCATCATCATCATCATCATCATCATCATCATCATCATCATCATCATCATCATCATCATCATCATCATCATCATCATCGCCATCATCATCTTCTTCGTCTTCATCCTCATCATCAACATTATCATCATCATCATCTTCTTCTTTTTATTCTTCTTCTTCATTTTTCTTCTTCTTTTTCTTCTTCTTCTTCTTTTTCTTCTTCTTCTTCCCCTTCTTCTTCTCCTTCTTCTTCTCCTTCTCCTCCTCCTCCTTCTTCTATACAGGATTCTACAATTTACTCATCAGTCAGACAGAGACTGGTGATGTCACCCACACATGTGATCCTTCAAGACACATCAGCAGAGAAAGGTCGGGACCCTCAGGTAAATTATCTGGTTCCACGATCTATCTAGTAATAAACTCGTGTTAAACTATGATCGTTGAAGATTGAGGCGGATGAGGGGAAAGAAGAAGATGAAGAGAAGACGAAAATGAAGATGATGAGGATGATAATTTGTCATTTCCGGTGCCCATTTAATCAGGCTGTGTCCACCCAGAAACCGTACAGGTTCAACATAAATATTTATAATTCAAAGCATAAATTTGCGCAACTGTCATAGTTTATCAAACGGAAGTTTCTTGATGTGGCTCTTCAATTTTCTTCTCGCAAAATCCATGTCTGAAGAAATAAATCAGTCCTCTTCTAAAACTTTTCAAAATCATGGGGTAGAGAAAGATCTTGTAGACACTGTTGAAGTTAACGATCAGCTCCGCTAGCATCATAATGTCTCTGTCCTTAAGTGAGGGCATCGCCAGGGATTTGAAATATTGTTTGGCGCGATAAATGGAAGATGGTAGAATGATCCCTAGAAAGATCAGCCCTGTGACCACGACTAAAACTGTAGCTCGAGTTCTTTCCCTTGAAATGTCGAATTCAGGTGGAGGCGGAATGGAATCACCCGACCTGGTGGATGGTGACTGTGAAACTGCCTCGTTTGCCAGAGTGTACTCCCCTCTCCATTGACAATCTTTAGTTTTGTGACAATTGTCCGGCCGGAAAAAGTGCTTGCTGCCTTTTATTGCCATGCGGACAAATAGGGCAAAATCGATCATCACAATTAGTAGCATTGGAAGAAATAAGGCAAAAATGACCTCAACTTTGCCAAGTTCCGCCATATGCTTTCGACTTTCTGGCATCAGAAGACACGAACTGATACCGTTCCATTCGATGACGATATATATCCACATATGATGAGAATATCCCACCAATGAAAACACGAAAATGGCAATTATTATACATTTTGTTCTGAAAGTTGTGCACCATTTCAAAGCCCGCGTTGAACCGAAATGTACCACCAATCTTTCAGCATGGGCAGCAAAAAGATACCAAGTCTTCAAAAAGCCGAAAAGCATCAGTGAAAACATGGTGATCTGACAAACACCCATGGTGTTTTGTAAGTTGATACCTCTGCTGGTTATCCAAACAGCGAGACTTGACAGCAGGTAGATGAAGTCAGAGACTGCAACAGCTGTCAGGTAATGGCACAGGGCGCTTGCGCGGAGCGGTGTTAACATGAAAGTGAAGACCAGTAATAAATTCCCCAGAATTCCTACACTCAGAACCACAGGCATGACAGATTCATTGATACTACTGTAGACGAGTGACAGAAAACTCGGCTGTCTGCGAGTCATAACGGGCATTTTCCGGAGGCGCTGAGAAAAGTCACCTCTTCGACTGAATAATTCAGTGGGATGACAGTCGAATAGATGACGGAGCTCCAGTCAAAGTAGACATCTTCGTAAAATGAACTGTTTGTTGTTGCATTTACGTTCAGGATTGAAGACACGTTGTAAACCATGATTTGGTCCCCTGTAGGGGATTCTGTCATAGACACGCTTGTTGGCGAAGATGGTAGAGTCGGCATTGTTGTACTTGTATTCTCAGGACTGATCCACGAACAAGCTCTCAGTGTCACAGCTTTGGCCTACTTTATGCAGTATGTCTGTTTTTTTTTTTAGTTCTACAATCATCAGTCACAATCACAATCTCATGACACTTTTTTATTTGTAATGTAGTAATGTCCATGATCTGCACAATATTGATGAAATCATCCGCTCAGTGACAGTTGGTATTTAACCTGCGATACAAACACCACATACACAGTACGTCATCTGGTCCTTTATTGACTGTATGTAAGAATACATTGACAAATATCTTTATATGCTGGCAATTGTAAAATTATGACACAACTCGTATACCATACAAAGTTTAGCTTACGACCGAACAAAACATAATGTTTTTGCAGAAAATGATAGACATTGCTTTTTCTGATTGTCGTCATTGACGGTTGGAAATTGAAGAAAAGGATTTAAAAAACATAAACAATGTGGTAAATATTAATCAGTAAAATATTTATGATCTGTCTCGCACATTTCAAGACAGAAATCCAATTATGTACGTTTAAATTTAACGTTAAACTGTATCTAAAAAGTATTGGACGCACTACGCTCATTAATTCACTGAAATATTTCCGCCTAATGAGACTCTAAATCAGAGAACTGTCAGAATAAGGGATCTTCTCTTCCTGTGCGACACAACTGGTCGATTGTATTAGCTCTCCACTGACACCCGTCGCAGACAGATATCTGAGGCATGACAGTTTTCGAGTCTGTAGGACGGTTCTGGACAGTCTCAGATTACTTCAGACACTGGACAGCTCATGTTGTATGTATGTACCTTGTCTTTGAAGAAACAGGCGACAGAAATAATCGAACGTGGCTGTAGGGAATCTCGAAGCCAAGGTTATAAATATTGTTTGTACAAATTTTCGCCTGGTAGCGATTTTTAGACAACCAAACACTGGGAAATATTGGAGGTCAGAAATGTTAAACTAAAAGGGACTCTTACAACAAGAACATCACAGAGGTAATCTCTTAAAGTACCCGAAGCAAAGATTTCTGGTTGTGGAGTTATCTCTCACCACAGAGGTAGATTACTTAAAGTACTCGAAGCAAAGATTTCTGTTGTGGAGTTATCTCTCATCACAGAGGTAGATTACTTAAAGTACTCGAAGCAAAGATTTCTGGTTGTGGAGGTATCTCTCACCACAGAGGTAGATCACTTAAAGTACTCGAAGCAAAGATTTCTGGTTGTGGAGTTATCTCTCACCACAGAGGTAGATCACCTAAAGTACTCGAAGCAAAGATTTCTGGTTGTGGAGGTATCTCTCACCACAGAGGTAGATCACTTAAAGTACCCGAAGCAAAGATTTCTGTTGTGTAGTTATCTCTCACCACAGTGGTAGATCTTTTCAAGTACTTGAAGCAAAGATTTCTGGTTGTGGAGGTATCTCTCACCACATTGGTAGATCTTTTCAAGTACTTGAAGCAAAGATTTCTGGTTGTGGAAGTATCTCTCAACACAGAAGTAGATCTTTTGAAGTACTCAAAGCAAAGATTTCTAGTTGTGGAGGTATCTCTCAACACAGTGGTAGATCTCTTGAAGTACCCGAAGCAAAGATTGGTTGTGGAAGTATCTCTCAACACAATGATAGATCTCTTGAATGAAGTACCCGAAGCAAAGATGTCTGGTTGTGGAGGTATGTCTGCGTTATTTTAGAGACGACCACGGCGCCTCTCATTTATGACAACATGTGTGTTGTTGGTAAGTAGGAAGAAAGTGGCCGGTGCAGTCAGGTGTTTTTTGAAAACGTGAGTGCCCTGTGTTTGAGTCTGAGAAATGAAGTCTGGACAGCTGAGAATCTAATCACAAATCGTTTAGGATGGCATGCTGGAGAACTGCTGCATTGAATCTTTTTACCTGTGAACGAAACGAAAAAAAGGATCAATCATTTTGGCAATACATTTCATAAAAATAAGTTATTTGAAAACAAAAACAAAAAAGAAAGAGGAAGAGAACCAGGGAAAAAACCACACTATTTGAAATGAAAAACGAAGGGATTAAAAAAAAATAGTGGTGGGGGGGGGGGGGGGGGGGGGGTTTAAAAAAGCTGGGGGGGGGGGGGGTGTTTTAAAAAACAGGGTGGGTTGAGGGGGGGGGGGAGGGGGGGAGGGTTGTTGAACCAAGAACTAGAAATTAAATATCGGTTGACAGACCATTAGATGAGAGAGGTTGTATCGTTTAGCTGGTGTTACAATGTGTCGTGCGCCGTCATTGGCTTATGCGTTGCGAGTCCGACTCGTAATCCAACGTATCGCGATCGAAACTCACTGCTGGCTGCGTGGATTTTTAATATGGTATATGGGGCGTCGCAGGTCGACCCAGCCTAAAATATATACCAGGATGGCTGTCCTGTGGAAGTAAAGACGGCCGGCGTAATGCTGACTACATTACCCATCTAATGTCTGTAAAAATTTGGGACGTTCTTCCCAATACCCGATGCGCTTAAGACATGAAAAGGGATCTTAACTTTTTTTTTAAGCAATGGTGTCGTAGCTAGACGTTTAGATGAGAGAGGTTGTATAATTTAACTGGTTTGACAATGGTGTTGTAGCTAGCCGTTTAGACTAGAGATGTTGTATCACTTAGCTGGTGTGACAAGGGTGTTGTGGCTAGACGTTTAGATGAGAGAGGTTGTATCATTTAGCTGGAGTAACCGTGGTGTTGTGGCTGGAGGTTTAGAGGAGAGAGGTTGTATCATTTAGCTGCAGTGACAATGGTGTCGTGGCTAGACGTTTAAATGAGAATGGTCGTATCATTTAGCTGGTGTGACAATGGTGTCGTAGCTAGACTTTTAGATGAGAGAGGTTGTCTCATTTAACTGGTGTGACAAGGGTGTTGTGGCTAGACGTTTAGATGAGAGAGGTTGTATCATTTAGCTGGAGTGACCATGGTGTCATTGCTAGACTTTTAGATGAAAGAGGTTTTATCATTTAGCTGGTGTGACAATGGTGTTGTAGCTAGACGTTTAGATTAGAGACTTTGTATTATTTAACTGGTGTGACAGTTGCGTTGTGGCTAGACGTTTAGATGAGAAAGGTTGTATCATTTAGCTTGAGTGACAATGATATCGTAGCTAGACGTTCCACCGAACATCCAGAGGTCGTGGATTCAGGTCCTGACGGAGCGACTTTTTCCACCTAAAAAATTAATTTGGCTCCCAAGTCGACCTCGCTGTAATTAAGTACCAAGTAAAGACATGGAAGTAAAGGCGACCGGTCTTGACATCCCCTTTGAGTGCCAGTTGTTGTATACAAAGTAGGTCTAGTCCTACATTCCAAAATTGCCTAAAGACGTAGAAAATGGTCCTTTTGCCACTTTCCAATGATCTGACAACCCAGCATTATTTCATGTATGCTCCTTTTTCTTTCTCTCGTCTTCTCTCTCATCCCCTTCCTTCGCTGTCCCCTTTTATTGCGTCATTTTCTTTTCTCTCCGTTTATTCTTTGTTTCTTTCTTTCCTTTCGTCTTCCTTGTTTCTTAGTTTTTATACAGAAAACGACGATTTGAAATGCAACTATATAAAAATTAATAAAAAATAAAAGTTTACCGGAACACAATCCTCTAATTTACGGAACAATCTTTTTTTTTTTATTAATTTAAATGGAGATAGGTAATCAAATACCCGATTTCTGCGAGGCAAAAAATATTGCAGCGATTGAGTCGCAGACTATCCAACGAAAACTAATTATTCCAACAGGGAAAAGAAAGCTCTCAGGGAAACAGGGAGACTGTAAACTGTAAGTAGTCAGACAGACAGACAGACAGACAGACAGACAGACAGACAGACAGACAGACAGACAGACAGACAGACAGACAGACAGACAGACAGACAGACAGACAGACAGACAGACAGACAGACAGACAGACAGACAGACAGACAGACAGACAGACAGACAGACAGACAGACAGACAGACAGACAGACAGACAGACAGACAGACAGACAGGATTGTAGCTGTGGATTTGTGCTAAACTAAAACCACGGATAAGTGTGGTCTCATCTGTCTTGTAGCTGGGATATCACTTCCTTGTGGGGATTTTCATTCACTGCTAGAGAATTGATATGTGTGACGCAACAGTTTGACATTATGTACCTGTTAGCTGTGTGCTAGTTAAGGTTATAATTCTTCTTCTCCTGAGTTTTCTTCTTTCTTCAGTCTTCGGAGTTCTTGAGGTTCTTGGCTGCAGATTTCAGCCTCCTCCGTTTTTGTGTGTTCGGCCTTCACCCTCCACTTGGTGTTTCCAAGTGTTTATAGTGTTTATTACACACACACACACACACACACACACACACACACACACACACACACACAGGGACAACGATAAATACGATGTCCGATATAAGGGAATAAAGAGCTAAGTTAGTGATTCAGAGGGGAGAGAAAGAAACCGAGATAGAGAAAGAGAGAGAGAGAGAGAGAGAGAGAGAGAGAGAGAGAGAGAGAGAGAGAGAGAGAGCAGATCGACAGGGAGAAAGACACACACACACACACACACATACACACACACACCACAAAGAGCAAATCGACAGGGGAAAAGACACACACCCAGAGCAGATCGACAGGTAAAAGACGCACAAAAAAAAGACACACACACACTGAGAGAAAGAAAGGGAGAGACAGAGAGTAATCAAGTTGGGGTAGGGAGCAGAAAACGAAAGGGGTGCAGAAGAAATCTTAACAGGACGAAGGGGAGAGAGAGAGAGAGAGAGAGAGAGAGATATGAAGTGGGAAAGAAAGG